GTGGCAACTTTTCATCTCTCATCTGGCCAGCTGTTGCTCCGCCCCCGCCGCTTTAGCGAGCCTACTTTTCGACCCTCCGGAGCCACAAATCATTGGAAAAACACAGTGTTTCGCGACTTTCCTACCTTTTCGCGCATCTGCCTCTTCTTTCTTCTGACTTTTTCTCTTCTCTGATCTTCTCTCTTCTAATCTTTCTCTTCTCTCTGCCTCTTCCCTGCTCTGCTCTTCATCTGTCCATATTGTCGGAAGTTTGACTTCTAAACTTCCTTCGATCAAGTAGCAATTCAACCACCATCGTTGTCATGAAATCAATATTCTGAAGGTTGAAACCCAATTTCTAGCAGCACCCGAAGTTAGTGGTTAACTTAACCATTTGTGTCGTCGTTAAAGCTCTTTTTTGGATGCCCCATCAGGCAGTGCGAAAGCTGGCGGGCTACAACGTGAAGAACAGCACCGAGGCAAACGCCGGGTGGCTGCAGTTCTGGTGGCGCGCCATGACAGCGCCTGGGCATTGGAACTGGGGACTCAAATCCTAGGCTGGGCATGTTTCGGCTTGTCGAACCAGAAAAAAACATCTATATATACCAAAATCATGATTGTTACCGGCTAGATGCGAATCTACCCACTTACCACTTAAAAGTAGCGGTTTTAACGAGAGACATTACAATTTAACCACCAAAAAAGTGATGCTAAATGACTGAAGGTTGTTTTCCGAGCCTTGTTTCACGATGCTTGAGGGGTAAGCATGGGCTTAACCACCATGGATGCTCACGGTTCACAATCGAAAATCATCCGTTTGTGGCAAAGTCCATGGGTTTTTCGCCCATCCAAACATGCATTCAACCATTGCAAATGATGCCAGGGTCAGTCACTAGAAGTCCTGATTTCTCCCCACCAGAAAATTTGAACAGGGACCGTCTCACTAAGTTTCATCGGTGAGTTTTGGTTGAGATCTACATGGTTGTTATTTTCTGTCCCCATTTTTTTGGATAAGCATTTGCATTTATAAATAGAAAAACAGCAATGGTGTGAGTGCTAATGTCCAGTGCGCGCAATCTATTTATAACCAATATTTCCCCTACTACTGGACTTCTGGTTGTTTAGAAAACATGGTGACACATCCTTAGATCCTTTGATGTTTGTTTGAAAATATGTAAGCAACCGGTATTCGTGAGTTAAACACATTTTTTGTTGCTCTGTTTGGTGTTTCCATGCCATGTTTTTCCCATGGCCCGGCCATGGCCCTCAGCCTTCAAAGGACGTGGCGAAGCCGGGCGACACCACGGAGTTCATTAATGCTTCGGCGGGGTCCGAGACACCACGCATGGGAGTGAACTCCGGCTACAGGTTGGGAGGGGAGATTCCCAATGGGAAATCATTGGCAGAAATCATTGGAACAGATCTAAAAATCATGGGTACAGTGAGGAAACCATTGGAAGATAATGGTGAATCATGGTGATAGAATGATAATGGTGATTTACCCATTATGGTTGGGCTTAGCCTCTACCAATTTTTGACAGTTTCCGAACTGAAAAATTGTCATCATCAAATAGTTGACTTACCCTGCTAGAAAATTGTGATTTCCCATAGTTGTGTTAGTTTATATTCCCGGTAAAACTGGGGGGAGTCATTGGAAGATCATGGTGAATAATGGTGAATAATGGTGATATCTCTTCTGGGAAGAAATCATACTGATGGCTCATTAGAAGATCATCTACAAATGGTGATATCATAATTGGTTGCTGGTTTGGAACATTTCATCCCAACTGACATTCATATTTTTCAGGGCGGTTGAAACCACCAACCAGATAAGTGACATCTTATGGGAATATGCCTGAAGAATATCATGGCTAATTGATTGGAAGTCCTCATCGGTAGCTTGGGATTCCTACCAGGGTGAGGCGCCGGGAATTTGAGGATGTGCTTCATGAACCATGAACACACATGGAAATATGCATATGGAATCATATAGATACATGATTGTATTTGTATAGATATACAGCTCTTTGCTTACATATGCAGATAAATTCTGATATCCATCTCTGCATGTTTTTGCATTTATTGGTTCAATAACTTACTTACATGTTTATATATAGATCTTTTCCTAAGATACCCGGCATTGCGATCGCGGCACTCGATTGCCTAGCCGCCTTGGAAATCTACCAACTCATGGCAGGGTCTATGTTAGTCCTTGGAAATCTACCACCTCATGCCAGGGTCTATGTCAGTTTGGGAATGGCAATAGTAATAGGCTGCAACAGTGCACTTTGCATCCCAGAATCAGTCAAAGGGAAAGTTGAAGAGAAACCCTTTTTGGGGGGCGTAAAACGCAGGCATGATACAGGTATCAACCTGGTTTTTTCCAGCACCAATCATCCCAATGACTTGCCAGTAAAATCCCAATAATCCCAATAGGGCTATGAAACATCCCCATGAAATATCCCCCGTGATTGATCCATTCCGAAGAATGGCCAGGCCCGAGGAACCACGCATCTCCGTGCCGCTGGGCACTGCAACTGGGCGCAGAGTTTCGTCCGGTGGTTTGCGGCGCGGATCAAGTTAGGACCTACAGTGACCCACCCATTTTAACAAGTGCAAGTTTGTTTCGGAGGGATTCTTGTGGGGCATATTGGGGCATACTCCCGTTCAACCCGGAATGGATGGTTTCCCAAGTTGGGGCACACTGAGTAGGTTTTATGGTTTACCGGAACGGTGATAAATTGCAACAACAGGTGAATAATTACACCGGGGAATCCGTGGTGAGCGGTACTTAAATATTAACGTTGCTACAAATGGGAATATAATATCCTAACCAGCTGGAAACAAAAACAATGCAGGGTGTCCTAGGATGGGCCATGAACTCATAAAAACCCATAAAATGTAAGGTTGTTTTTTAGGTGTTTACCAAGGCTTTTGTTGGATTTTATTAGATGTACTGCTCTCTTTCAACAAACATGAAACCCACACGAAGACGTTTGGAAGATGGTGTTGGGTTCAATTCTATTTTGCGGTTTCCGTGTTAGGTTTCAGGGATGTAATTAGGTCTCTAAATGGGGAAGATCCCTGAAGTGTACCCCAGCAATAACATGCTTGCTGGAAAATAAGCCATTCAACGCCACTCGGGATTGAACGGATCCTAACGTCGTGGAAAATTACGATAATCAGTACCTGGAACCCCGCTCAAACATTTGTTGGGTCATGTTTTTTTGCAAAAATTGTGTTTTAACAGCTGGTTCTTCAACATGTTTTGACAAACAAAAATAAGCGGGAGATGTGACCACCGAAATCAAGATGGTTTGGCAATGCGAAACCGCAACCAATACTCCAAAGATCAGGCAAACAAACGTAGGGACCTGAACCTGTGTTGTCTTTGTGACAGAAATCCTTCCTTCTGCAGTGAAGACCAGCGCACCCTGAGCAAAACTGTCCTTATGGGGTTACTGCTAGGGGTTTACCATGGGAAAAGGTAAAACCATCGGAAACCTGCAGCCGGCTGCTTCAAAAAAGACTTCCACCAGCAGCAGTGATTATCGTTACGTATATATATATATATATATATATATTGGGCCCTGCCCCCGCCCACTAACAGTTCTAAAACTGCCCCCCTTCATAAACCATATACCAAACAAGGTGGGCCAGAGAACCCAAAAGCAAGACGGCACACAGCACGCCTTTTTTTGAAAATGTTGTGGTGTGGGCAGCTGTGCTATGAACGAAATCGATGTAAGATCTTCATTGAAACGTCGTGCGCACTGATGGTATCAGGGGCCGCAATTCACCACAGCATGCTTTGTCAGCTACGTCTACATTCTTCTAGTCGCTATTGCTGCTAATGTAATAACTATCCCATCTTTCTAGTCGCTATTTATTTCTGGGTTCACGTTTTGAGTTTGCTTCGCCGCAGAGGGAGCGAGGACGAAGCGTGGACGGACAGAACACCGTGCGAAATGAAAACTAAACGACGGAGGGAGTTGACCAAAAGAGCATAAAAACCAAGTTGTGGAGGTGACAGATGGTGAATGATCATGAAAAATGAGAAATGATGAAAGATGGGTAAAGACTTCTCTGTACAAAAGCTTGTTTGCATAAAAGTTTCTGTATGTAAAAGCTTCTGTGGGTAAAAACGTCTCTTTGTAAAGGTTTTTTTGCGTAAAAGCTTCTGTGCGCAAAAGTTTCTGAGTAAAACGTCCTCTGTGTGTAAAAGCTTCTGTTTGTGAAAGTTTCTTTGCGTACCAACTTCTGTCTCTAAAAGCTGCTCTGTGTTAAGGTTTTGTTTGTGTAGAGCTTCTGTGTGCAAAAGCTTCTCTGTGTAAAAGACTTCTCTGTGTAAAAGCCTCTGAGTGTACAAGCTTCTCTGTGTGCAAGTTCCTCTGTGTAAAAGCTCCTCTGTGAAGAAAGCTTCTCTGTGTCAAGACTTCTTTGTGTAAAGATTTCTCTGGGTAAAAACTACTCTGTGTAAACGCTTCTGTGTGTAAAAGCTTCCCTGTGTAAACGCCTCCGTGTGTAAAGACTCCTCTGTGTAAACCCGTCTGTATGTAAAAGCTCCTTTGTGTAAAGGTTTTTTTGTGTAAAAGCTTCTGTGTGTAAAAGCTTCTGTGTGTAAAAGTTTCTGTGTGTAAAAGCTTCTGTGTGTAAAATGTTCTGTGTGTAAAAGCTTCTGTGTATTAACAAAGCCTTTTGTCAAAGCTTCTGTGTAAAAAAGCTCCCCTGTGTGTACAAGCTTCGCTGCGTAAAAGCTGCTCTATGTAAAAGTTCTGTGCGCCGTACAGTTGTCTGATTGTAAAACCTCCTGTGTGTGAACGCATCTGTGCGTACAAGATTCTGTGTGCAAAAGCTCCTCTGTGTAAAGACTTCTCTGTGTAAACGCGTCTGTGCGTAAAGGCTCCTCTGTATAAAGATTTCTCTGTGTAAACGCGTCTGTGCCTGAAAGCCTCTCTGTGTAATCTGTGTAAGACTTCGCTGTGTAAAAGCTACTTTGCGCAAAAGGTTCTGTGCGTAAAAGGCTTCTGTGTGCAAAAGCTCCTCTGTGTAAAGGCTTCTCTGTGTAAACGCGTCTGTGCGTAAAAGCTCCTCTGTGTCAGACTTCTCGGTGTACAAAGCTTCTGTGTGTGAAAGTTTCTGTGTGTAAAAGCTTTCCTGTGTGAAAGTTTCCTTGTGCAAAAGCTTTTGTGTGTAAAAACTTCTCTGTGGAAAGGTTTTTTTGTGTAAAAGCTTCTGTGTGTACAAGCTGCTCTGTGTAAAAGTTTCTGTGCGCCGAAAGAGCGTCTATTTGTAAAACCTTCTGTGTGTAAACGTGTCTGTGTGTAAAAGCTTATGTGTGTAAATCTCCTCTTGTAAGGACTTCTCTGCGTAAAAGCCCTTGTGTGTCAAGACTTCTCTGTACAAAAGGCTTCTCTCTGTAAAAGCCTCTGTGTGTACAGGCTTCTCTGTCCCAAGACTTCTCTGTGTAAAGACTTCTGTGTGTAAAAGCTACTCTGTGCAAAAACGCTTCTGTGCGTAATGGCTTCTGTGTGTAAACGCGTCCTTGTGTCAAGACTCCTCTGTGTAAACGCGTCTGTGTGTCAAAGTTTCTGCGTAAAGGCTTTTTTGTGTAAAAACTTCTGAGTGTAAAAGCTTCTGTGTGTAAGAGCTTCTCTGTGTACAGGCTTTCCCGTGCAGAAGCTTCTGCATGTGAAAGCTTCTCTGTGCGTAAACGTTTTTTGTCTGTAAACACTTTGTGTGCAAAAACTCCTCTGCGGTGTAAAGGCTTCTCTGTGTAAACGCGTCTGTGCGTAAAAGCTCCTCTGTGTAAGGCTTCTCGGTAAAAGAAGTTTCTCTGTGTAAAAGGTTCTGTGTGTAAAAGCTTTCCTGTGTAAAAGTTTCCTTGTGCAAAAGCCTCTGTGTGTAAAAACTTCTCTGTGTAAAGGCTTTTTTGTGAAAATGCTCCAGTGTGTAAAAGCTGCTCTGTGTAAAAGTTTCAGTGCGCCGTAAATGCTTCTGTGCGTAAAACTTCCTGTGTGTAAACGCGTCTGTGTCTGTAAAAGTTTCTGTGTGTAAAACTCCTTTTTGTAACTTTGTGTAAAGACTTCTCTGTGTAAAAGCTACTCTGCGTAAAGCTTCTGTGTGTGGAGGCTTCTGTGTGTAAACGCATCCGTGTGCAAACACTCCTGTGTAAACCCGTCTGTGTGTGTAAAAGCTTCTGTGTTTAAAAGCTTCCATGTGCAAAGCCCCTTTGTGTGTAAACGTTTCTGTGTGTAAAAGCTGCTCTGTGTAAAAGTCTCTCTGTGTAAAAGCTCCTCTGTGTAAAGACTTCTCTGTGTCAAAGCCTCTGCGCGTACAAGCTTTTCCGTAGCTTCTCTGTGTAAAAGTCTCTGTGTGTGCGTGTGTGTGCAAGCTTCTCTGCGTCAAGACTGCTAAAAGTTTCTCTGTGTAAAAGATTCTGTGTGTAAAGTCCTCCCTGTATACAAGCTTCTCTGTGTAAAAGATCCTCCGTGTAAAGCTCCTCTGTGTAAAGCTCCTCTGTGTAAAAGCAGCTCTGTGTAAAACCCGTGCCAACAGCTCCGCATTTTCAGCGCCGCTCCCTCACAGCAGAGCTCTTCCCAAGCTATTTCCCCACCTGTCCGTTCACGCTGATGCATATCCTATGCTTGGGTTATCGTTTAGTTTGCTTCGCTGCAAGGGAGCGAAAACCAAGCATCGACGGACAGAACGCCGAGCAAAATGAAAACCCCTCCAGCAAAGAACTTTTCCCCATGCATGTCCGGCATGTCCCTTTGCCCAGCGTTTAGACACCGTTTGAAAAGTCTTTGGCACCCGTTTTTCGGGACAATCGTGTTGATGGAATTTGTCCTGCAAATCCGTGCCAACAGCTCTGCTCTTTTTGTCTCGCTCCAAGCTATGCATGTCCCATGAGCCAGGGTTTGGAAACTTTGGCAAGTCTTGGGCCTTGGGCGCACATTTTTTCCACATTTTTTCGGAACAATCGTATTGATGAAATTTGTCCTGAAAAACCCGTGCCAACAGCAGTGCATTTTTAGTGTCGCTCCCTGCCAACGAAGCTATGCATGTCCCATCGCCCAACGCTTGCAAACCCACTTGGAAAGTCTTGGGCGCACAGTTTTTCGGGACAATCGCATTGATGGAATTTGTCAAAGAAAACCCGTGCCAACAGGTCTGCTTCTGGGTACGTCGGAGCTCTCCCCAAGCTATTTCCCACGGTTTCCCGTCGCTTCCGTATCGCTCCTTCCCAACGGAGAGATCTCTCCGAGCTATTTCCCACGGTTTCCCTTCCGTCCACCCCGTCATCATTCCCGTATCGCTCCTTCCCCTCCTCGTCTCTGCATCGCTCTTTCCGTACGGAGCTCCCCCCATGCTATTTCCCACGGTTTCCCTTCCGTCCACCCCGTCGTCATTCCCGTATCGCTCCTTCCCAACGGAGCTCTCCCCAAGCTATTTCCCATGGTTTCCCTTCCGTCCACCCTGTTGTCATTCCCGTATCGCTGCTCTCCCCAACACCCTGGCGTCACTCCCGTATCGCTCCTTCCCACCGGAGCTCTCCCCATGCTATT